CATCTTGTGATACTTCGGTGATGTTTCCCGTAGTGTAGATAATCTCAATCTTGTCAAATTGCTGATTTGGGTGTTGGGGTGTGAAGCGCTTCATCATGTGAAAGTTCAGTGATGTTTCCCTTAGTATGGATGATCTCAATCTTGTCAAATTGCTGATTTGGGTGCTGGGGTGTGAAGCGCTTCATCTTGTGATAGTTCGGTGATGTTTCTCCTAGTGTAGACGATCTCAATCTTGTCATTTTGTTGATCTGGGTGCTTGGGTGTGTCGCGCTTCATCTTGTGATACTTCGGGGATGTTTCCCCTAGTGTAGATGATCTCAGTCTTGTCAAATTGCTGATTTAGGGGCTGGGGTGTGAAGCGCTTCATCTTGTGATAGTTCGGTGATGTTTCCCCTAGTATAGATGATCTCAATCTTGTCAAATTGCTGATTTGGGTGCTGGGGTGTGAAGCCCTTCATCTTGTGATAGTTCGGTGATGTTTCCCCTAGTGTAGACAATCTCAATCTTGTCATTTTGTTGATTTGGGTGCTTGGGTGTGTTGCGCTTCATCTTGGGATACTTCGGTGATGTTTCCCCTGGTATAGATGATCTCAATCTTGTCATTTTGTTGATCTGGGTGCTCGGGTGTGTTGCCCTTCATCTTGTGATACTTCGGTGATGTTTCCCCCAGTGTAGATGATCTCAATCTTGTCATTTTGTTGATCCGGGTGCTTGGGTGTGTTGCGCTGCATCTTGGGATACTTCGGTGATGTTTCCCCTAGTGTAGATGATCTCAAACTGTCAATTTGCTTATTTGGGTGCTTGGGTGTGAAGCACTTCATCTTGTGATAGTTCGGTGATCATTCCCCTCGTGTAGAAGTCACCAGTCTTGTCAATTTGCTGATATGGATGCATGTGTGTATGACGCTTTCTTCTGGGATGCTTCGGTGATGTTTCCCCTTAAAAAAATTGCTGTCTAACTCACCTCTTAGCTGTTCTTGACACATGTATGAGCTGAGATCCCTTCCGAGGTACTTCGGGGGGCTTCCCCCTTGGTAGACTGCTTTCAAACCCATCCTTTGGCGGTTCTTGACACATGTATGTGTTGCTTTTCTTTTGGGGACACTTTGGTAAAACTCTCCCTTTGATAAGATTGCGTCAAGACTTATCTTTCGGCTATATCTAATGCATGCATGTGTGTGTGTTGCAGCCCCCAGCAACCTGTTCAGTCCACCCTTGTCCCTTGCTGTAACCGGTGACGACCGGTATGTGTATGTGTGTGTGTTGCAGTCCCCAGTAACCTGTTCAGTCCACCCCTACCCCTTGCTGTAATTGGTGACTCCCGGTATGTGTGTGTGTTGCAGCCCCCGGCAACCTGTTCAGTCCACCCTTGTCCCTTGCTGTAAC